TATCATAGCGAGAAACCAAATCAAAATTTACTGCAAGATTAAAGGCACTGGAGATCAGAGCAAGTTACAAGGAACCACTGTGCTCAGATTAATGCTCAGACCAGTGCTGCTTTGAATTCCACTCCAGTTTCACAGATTATCAGGGAACAACAATCAAGTTAAAACAAGGCTGTTTCTTCTTAGCAGCAATCTTGCTTGGCTGGAACTTGTTCTGTCACTGTCTGCACTAATCACTCACTTCAAAGTTTGCCTGGCACCCTCTGGGGCTGCCCCCCACATAGAGCCTATCCTTGCCTTCTCATTTCAGCTTCTTCCCAGCTTCTGAGACTGGTGGGACTGGTGGGAGAGAGGGGACAGCTCACCAGATGAAGAGCAGGAGCCTCAGCAGCACAGAGGAAGGTTTACTCTGTGAACTTGGTAGCTTGCTATTCTACTTTGTCTCCCAAGGTAGATTTCTCTCTGCCTTTGCACCAACAGAGGCAATAACCCTCAGCTCTGCTCCCTTCCTTTTTTCTCCTCTTCCTTTGCAATGAAGAAGAGCTGACTCAAGGTTAGTGGTAAGATAGAGCATAGTCTTTAACCATTGCAGTTCTCATGCAGCATTTTGATAACTCCTCTGCTAACAGAGCTGATAGAGAGGAGAATGACAGAGGGGAGGACATTCCTGTCTGGCTCCTTTTCTTCACTACTTTGAAAGTTTTCACTATCTTCACATGGCGACGGAGCTAACAAAAATGAGAAGTAAAATGGCTTTTGAAAGGTGAAAATTCAATATTAGAAATGTGATGAGAAGACACAAATGTAGCTTTTTGAAAAGGATTGCTGAGCAGAGAACACAGGGTTGTTGTACAGCCCCTGCACAGGAAGAATGAAGAGAGCAAAAGGAGCAGGCTGTGGGGAGACAGAGCAGAGATAGACTGAGATTCTTTTAACTGAAAATTCAATACAGCTTCATTCATTATATATTTTTTTTTTTATGAAACAGTGGAATTAAAAAGAAAAGGCTTCAATGAAACATGGGGCTTCCAGCTTGCTCAAGAATATCGCAAAAGCCCTTATATTCAGTTTCCCTTGAAGCCAAGAGAAACATGTCTTTTCTGGTTCAATTTTCAGCTCTTTGAAGCAGAAACTCAGTCTTTTATGTGTCCCTACAGTGCCCAGTGCAATAGGTCTCCTGTCTCAGCAGGCACTTCTAAGTGCTATTGTAATAAAATTGATTAATCATAATTTTTAATAACTCCTTAATATTTCCAGTATCATCCTTGACTAAAAAAATGTATGCGGGCTGAAAAGGCATGAAAGTTTAATTTAGAGCACAGCAAAGAGAAGTTTTTGCTACAGGAAAATCTAACTCAAAAGGTAGTAAAAAATGTTGTTCATATTAAGCAGATGCAGAAATAACATTAACAGTGTAACACGACAGAAACCTGGGCTTTGCATCTATTTGAAGCCCAAAAATCAAGTGTAAGATGAGTGGGATATGCACTTGCATGCAGGGATGCTATTTATGACTTCAAGGAGAGGGAGATGTACTGTTACCCAGCTCCATCTGCATGGCAATGAAGGGCCACTCAGAGATAGATGTGTAAATCTTCCTGATGTGATTCCTCCCCGCTCTTTTGCAAAGTAGCACTTAATATTGACTCCTGTATTGCTGTCATATAACCCCCACAATAAGTGTGGAAATGGAAGGGCCAGCTCACATCTCTCACTGGCTCTGGCTCAGGTTGCAAATGTGGGCGGACACTGCTGCATCACCCTGCACTTCAATAAATGTTTTTAAGGCTTATTTTTCCCAGCAGGAGCAGGAATGAAAAATAAGATTCAATTGTACATGTCGACAGGCTGGGAGAAGTGCCAGTGTGCCATAACCCCAAGTACCAGCCCAGCCCTTCCACTCTGTAAAGTACAATTATTGTAAATTGGTTCAGAGCCTGGCAAACATCACAGGCACACATGTGCCTCTCTGCAAATATGCATATACAGGACTCATAAACGATCCTGGGGTTTTCTTTTTCTCTCTGGTGGAAGGAAGTTAAAAAGCCTTCATGTGAGCTATCCTTTTCCCTCAGCTAGGGCAGATTTCTACCTGAGGGAGTTTCTCCAGGCTTCCTCCAAGTGAAGAGCACAAATATCACAGAAGGGGCTCATCTCCCCCTGTGGAAAACAGAGGATGCTTAAGGGGCCATTCCCCTCTCTCCTAGGCAGCTAACGTCTATTTTCTGTAGTAAAATTTGCAAACAGAAGAAAGTATTAGGTCCATTGAACAAAAAAAAAAAAATTGTCTTTTGTAATTTGGAGTTATAAAATACAATAAAAGTTCAAATGTAGAAATAGATAAGCTTCTAACCCAGAATTTAATCTTCTGTATCCATGACATTAGGCAACATGTATAGTGGAATTGTAGAATACCAGACTGGTTGTTCATGTGGCTTTCCACCTCTGGTACACAGTTCTCATGGCATTGAGCACACTCAGAACCCTCCAGTCCAGCCATGCTGCTGAACAGAAAATCCCATATGTGGATGAACACAAGGAAACATTTTCCTGCAAATTATTTCTCAAAAATATCAGCTGTGTGATAAAGCTGTGGGATTAATTAATTTAGTATGCATCTCTAATTGCCTTATTGCAATTCTTCTCTCTGAGGGCTAAAGCTAATGCTCCATATCTTGAAATATCTTCAAATTTCAGCTTTTTCTTTATCATGGCAGGTCATGAAATTATTCTCTTCAACCTTCAACACATAAGGAATTTTGATACATACTAGATACAGGTACTATACAGACATCCTGCAAGTCTGAACAGACACTGCCACTCCTCATAGAAGGAACCATTTTAAAATGTAGCTGCTTTTTTCCCCTTAATGCTAAAGTACCACTGGGGAGTTAAGTGCAAGACACAGCTCAGATATACAGGTGTATGTCATTCCTGTGCCACAGCTCTATCTAGAGATTTTAAATAATGAGACACCACGGGATCAGCTAATGATCTGACCTCATTTAGCCAAGTTAATCTTTTAGAAAACCTGGTACCTCATATTTAGCTCAGCAATATCTCCCCCTTACCATCCAGTTCTTGATTTGACTATTTTAAAAATAATTTATATCCTAATAGTTGCCAATGGCACTCAGATGTTAGATTATTTCTACTGTATGTATTTAGTTCTCCTATGTGAACTTGTGTATTTTTTCTTAGTGAATTAAATTCGCCATGAGCTCAAAGAGAGAGGTGTTTGAACCTTTTCCTGGATTTGCCAGAAGGATCACTCTGAAGAGTTTAGCTGGACAGGGAACAGAGCATTGCCTGGTCAGAATTTCACAAAAGAAACAAACCCTAAGACAAGAATTATTCATGGAAGTGACTCAACCAATAGTTAGAATAACTATATTACATTAATTTAAAAGTAATTATACATGATCGGCAACAAAAAGGAAATAAATTATGAATTGGATTTAAAAAAATTGTTCCTGAAAGCAAATATTTTTTTTCATTGAAGATGAAGTGTGTATCATGATTTTATTCAGAATATTGTCCTTGGATGATGTCAGATTTCATGAATAAGCATAGCAAGTGATCACAAAGCTCTCATTGCTACTGAACCCAACTCAGCCTGCTCAAAACCCCAACTCACATGAAAGCTCAGCACTCCCAGCCATGTAGGCCAGGAAAAAACAGGCGCCAGCGGGCTGGGGAAACCTGCTGGGGAACCGCCAGCCATCCTGTTTGCCTGCTCATTAAATATTTCATCTTAACCCCTAACTACAACAGGTATGTGATGAGCAAGATAAAGCAAACTCTTTAACAACCTGTCTCTCTTTTTTGGACAAGCAAGCCCTGACTTGCAGCACATGGGAAAAGACAGTCAGCAGTTCCCAAGATGACCCTTCTTTGAAGTGATATCTTTTTTATTTCATTTGCATTCTGGTTTCCAGCTAAACCAGGACTTGCACTGTCGATCTATGTGTGTCTGTTCCAGTCCATTCACTAACAACTTCTGGCAACTTCAAATTCAACAGAGGTAACTTTCAAATATATCCAGTCCCTAAAAACATTAGTTAGCAACAGTGTCAACTAGAAAAAAATTACTTTCTGGAGGAAAGTCAGCTACCATTCAGTGTAGATTTATCCTGTAGAAGTTGGGAACAAGCTGGGAAGTCTCACAACATTCCTTCAGTAGCCAACAGGGACATTAGCTATAAAAACAAGGGGAGAACACAAATTAGGATTAAAGGTGTAACAGGTATGAGCACACAGGAAGCCCTGTGCCACTAGGTTACAGAATATCTTCTGTTTAATGAATGGTTATTTAAAAATTTTTGTACAAGTCTTGTAAGTTCTCTTAAAACCATTTTTAAGTGTTATATATTTATTTTCTTTCCCTGTGCTTCTGGAGTCCTGTCTGCAGAAGCACCCACTAAAACTTCTACAGCACTGTAAACACATTTTCTTGACTTATGCCAGCCATATAGCAGCCTTCAGTCTTCAACAATGAAACCATGGAAACTTCACCAGACGAAGGCTGGTGGATGGAGGAAGAAAGAGAAGCGCTGGTAGAAAAATGGTGGGCCAGAATTGGGCTCTGACTGCATCTCTGGGAGAAGCGAAGAGCAGGAAGAGTGCTCCCATGTTCCAGCTCCTACAACAAACTGCTGGCCTCGTCACCCACTGTCCAGGCTTGCTGGAATCATGATGTGGCCTTCAACACCTTTCTATAACCTTATGGTTAGTTTTCCTATTATTCCTTTACCACTAACATATTTTACCTCCAAAGAAGGACATATATAATTAGAAAATTAAATTAAATTACTTAATCTCCCCTTCTTGCTTTAATTTTATCAACATCTTCACTTCACTTGAAACTATTCCCCAGTCAGAGCAAGCTTGTCTTACTTAGTCATTCTTTTTCTAATTTAATTTTTAGTTTTGTAATTCTCACATTTCCTCTGGCTATTTAAGATGACAGCAGCCTCTTGCCTTGTGTGATACAGAACTTGAACTATTTTCAGAAGCAGTAAACTCAAGGAATAAGATATAACATTTATAAAACTTGTCCAGCGGGTTGACTTGATGTAATACTTCAAGACACTTATTATTCCACATTTACTGGACTTCCTGTGTCCCCTTCAACACTGTACACTTGCTAGCTCTTTTCTTGTTAAGGAAACCAACACAATAACCCTAACAGCAGTTTTCCTTTCACCTCCAAGATGTGTATCCCTATAGCTTGCATGCAGTGAGATCCTCTTGATGATGAGTGTTCCCTGGGTAAATGCATGTGGCAGCTATAGTACTGCCCTGCCATATGCATTTCCTATGCACAACATGGCCCTTTCCCCAGTTCTTGCTCAAAAGCATGCTGAGAATGAATGTCTGGAAGCTCCATGACATCTCTCTTGGTGTCTATTATGTTCTTTTTCCTGTCGCCCATGAAAGGCCACAACAACCACAGCTAATAAAGGACAGAGAGGAAATGTGTTACAGAATAAAGTGACAACGCAACAAATACAACTCATGGGAGAGAAAGGATGTGTTATTGTGGGAAAGCAAGAGCTTTATGGGATGCTTGAGGTCAGGCTGCATGGTCAGAAAGGTGAGTCTTGGCTTTCTGGCCCACACCAGAGACTCTGCAGAGGAAAGGAGAGAGCACAGGAACCTCATTGTGTCTGGTTTCAGTATATCAGCATCCTGGTGTGGGAAACTGAGCTTCAGGGCTACAGGAGGCTCTAAATCCCCTACCCACTCTAAATGCACAGTTCTGAGCCCCATCAGAAGAAAAATTACTCAGATAGAATGCATATATACCTCCTGAATTACTGAACAGAAAATAAATCAGAAAGCCAAATGGTTCTATCTCAGTTCAGCATGCCCAAAACTAATTTGCTTGTATTAGTATTTTCATTCAAATAAGCCTCCTCTCAAGATATAAAGCACAATGCCAGGAAAAATCATTGGTCCTGCAGCTGTGATCAGGGAATGAATGAGACATGACAGTGCTCTTGTAGATGTTCAGACAGCCTGAGCTTGCCTCAGTCATCTTTTCCTGCGGTGGCAACATCCTGCACGATGCAGTTTTGTGTAATTTCTGACATTGTCGTTTCAGATGTTGTAAAATCCTGGAAGCGAGAGAAGGGACCAGGGTAAGAGGGTAGAAAATAGAACAGAAAATAGTATCTGACAACACATATCCAGTCCCTTGTGTCATTGTAAGGTTTGCATGGCTTGTCAGGATAGCCACCAATCTGGACAAAATGTGCCCACAGCTGGCATGGCAAACGTGCCAAGCCTTGGAAACCTCTTAATGTCATAACCTAAAGAGCAGAGGGGTCAGCTGATTTAGATTTTCCTTCCACGTAGCCACCTTCCCCCTTTCTGGGCAAAACACCCAAGTCTGAGGTGAGTGCATTTCTGGTAATCAGTGATGGCAAACTGGACAAGAACAAGGCAGGTTTAGCACAATTAGCAGCATTTACACAGGCTGCTTTTCCACAGGTGTCTCAAGGACTGATTCTCTGGAAGCTCCCAGTTATCAGTGAACTGATATTGCACTTCCCTATATTAGAGTGTGGAATTATTTAGAAAATTATTTGGGCAAATGTTTTTGTGTATGTTGATAGTAAAAGAGTTTTCTGAGGTCTGTCCCACTGTCAGGCTGATCAGGTTCATAGAGAAGTTGTCAGGCAGAAGAATGGACCTTTAGCATAACTGGAGGTGGCAGATTTCTTTAGCAAATCATCATAAAACCAGTTAACAATGGATATAAAATATTTCTTTCTAAATTATATATGTCACACAAGTAGTTAGAGCTCACCTGTTAAATTGCCATGAATTTCATATGCAGTTTCACTGCCACTATGGCACTCAGGCACCTTTTAATGCAAATTCTTCCCATTATCAGATTGATTCCTCAACATTTGGTGGGCTCCCCTTCTGCTTAATTAGATGGTCCAAAAATATTCCAGTTATTCTCTGTTTAATCAACCAAAACATTTTCATTAGAAAACTATACCCTTCCAGTAGTTCCAACAAACACAAAAAGGGATTTTTTTAATCTGAATCTGTATGGTTATTGACAAAATTCCATCTGTTTCCCTGCCCTCCCTCTCTCATCTGGGTACTTGGTGAGCTTCAGGTCCTGGATTCCAGAGCAGTTCAATGTTGAGATATGGAGAGCAGCATTTTTACAACACAAATTCAGGAGGATACTGTGAAACCAAGAAGGAGATTCTAGACATTCCCTCGTGTCCAAACTGCTCAGGGGGAGTCTGGACCCTCCCATGATGAGGTTTCACTGTTTTCATTAATGAAATCAGTTTCCAGTTATGGTGACCCTGCAAGAGACTCTCACATATGCTTGGTGTTTCTTCCTAATGGACTTGCCAGGGCAAAAGGTCTGAAGTAGCTGAAGAGATTCTGAGCTGTGGAAAAGGGACTCTTGGTTTAGGTAGCCTTCAGTTTTGGGTTCCCATTTCTCAGAAGACTCCTATTTTCAGGTGTCGAGGTTTCAGATTCTTTGTAGGTAGTTTTCAGGTCCTCGCAGTGTTGATCAGCTGCACTGTAAAAGACAAAACCCTCAGGAGTCTCCTGGGCTCAGAAGCCCCAAGTGGAAGTAACCAGAAATCTCCTCCCACTCTGTGATGGCAGCTGGTTCTGCTTTGTGGTCCCAGCAGTAAGAGAATTAAAGGGGCTCACTGCTCCTTGAGCCACTACAAGCAAATACAAATTCTCATCACCCTCAGATAAAAAAAAAAAATAGGTCATTCACTTCTGTTTTGGGATTCTTTTCGTGATGGTCTCCTAAGAAAGAGAAGAGTAGCTTATGGGGAAAATCAGAATGATTTTAGTAAGCAGATATTCTGGTGTTTGATGTATGAATTAAGAGATAACAGTGGTTACTAAAAAAATGCACTAGAGAAATAAGGAATTACTATGCATACCACAGATAGAATATAAAAAAGATCCACATAATGAGCTCATAAGAGCTAATAAAATTTTTGTTCTCTTGCTTTTAGACTAATTGTACCTGAATTGCTTTATTACAAGACCATAATTTGATCCATTTTTAAAAGCATTTCTATTTTTTTCCAAGATGATTTTGGGTGCAAAAACTGAAAAAGAAAACCAGGCAGAGTGCTAGTCTGCCACCAATGGAAAAAAAAAAAAAAAGTATAGCCTTGCATTGAATGTGTTACACTGGTAAATGTAAATAGCAACAATTCATTAACAAGACTATCTGTAAAGAATGAGATCACAGTACTAAAAATTGATTGTAGTCCAAAGTCTTTTAATTCTTTTGTTTATTATCTGTTGAATTATTAGAATTGGTTTACAAGTTCTTTCTTTTAACAAGCTGAAAACTTGCTTGGAGGAAAAAAAAGCACCAAAACAAAAACAAAAAAGCAAAACCAAACAAAAAAAAAAAAAAAAAAAAAAAAAAAAAAAAAAAAAAAAAGAAAACAACCCATAAAGAAAGCCAAACTGGGGTTCTGGATGAATTCTGAACTTACAAAGAAAAGGTGCCATCATTACACCCTTACACTGTCTCATAATATAGAGAAATTAAATTAAGCTCTGAGTTTTATTTCAATAGCAATAAACTAAGAATTAAGTATTATTCAATAATCATTTCTGTCTGTCAGTTCTATTGTTGTCCAAACTACATCACTTTCTTAAATATTTTTATGTTGTTATGATTCTTGTTTACAGCTTAGTATGGTAATTTCTACAGTACTGTGAAAGGCATTGAGGGAAAATTTTACATGTGTCGTTGAATACTGTTGAATTTCTCCACAATGCCAGAACTACAAATAAAGCCTAATTTAGTGGTGCTCAGTGTATTTAGGTGATCATTAGAGATCTCAGAGAGACTGACAGCATAAATACATTATAGTCTTCTTAAAAGAGAAACTTCTCTTTTGCCTTTACAGTCTTTTACATATCACATAATTCTATATATGAAAAAGAAGTCATTTTAAATAGGATTCAGCTGTTCAATAGTTCTGTTTGTAAGTATGTATCTAGGAGGGAATGGAAAAGAATGAAATATGGTTTAATTAGCACTGTCAAACAGGTACCAAATTTAACTTGGCAGGAGGGATAAAGTTAACAAATCTTAGCCTTTTGTCTCTCTGTATGATCAGTACTTGTATACCGCAGCTATTTGACCTGCTAAGAGATGCATAAAATCACACTGCCTCCTTTATTGCAGTTATTGTCTTGGACACCATGGGAAGAAAGATATAACAGCAGCAATGTGGTTTAATTAGGCCAGAACTTGATTAACTCTGCACACTGGGAATGTCTCTCAGAACTCAATGATGCAGTGCAGCCCCTGCCCTCTGGAAGAGGCTGCCCTGTGTCCTGTGTCCTGTGTCCTGTGTCCTGTTCCCTGTTCCCTGTGCCCTGTGCCCTGTGCCCTGTGCCCTGTGTCCTGTGTCCTGTGTCCTGTGTCCTGTTCCCTGTGTCCTGTTCCCTGTGCCCTGTGTCCTGTGTCCTGTTCCCTGTGTCCTGTGCCCTGTGCCCTGTGCCCTGTGCCCTGTGCCCTGTGTCCTGTGTCCTGTGCCCTGTGTCCTGTTCCCTGTTCCCTGTGTCCTGTTCCCTGTTCCCTGTGTCCTGTGTCCTGTGTCCTGTTCCCTGTGTCCTGTGCCCTGTGTCCTGTTCCCTGTGTCCTGTGCCCTGTGCCCTGTGCCCTGTGCCCTGTGCCCTGTGTCCTGTTCCCTTTTCCCTGTGCCCTGTGCCCTGTGCCCTGTGCCCTGTGTCCTGTGTCCTGTGTCCTGTGCCCTGTGTCCTGTGTCCTGTTCCCTGTGCCCTGTGTCCTGTGCCCTGTGTCCTGTGTCCTGTGTCCTGTGCCCTGTGTCCTGTTCCCTGTGCCCTGTGTCCTGTTCCCTGTGTCCTGTGTCCTGTGTCCTGTGCCCTGTGTCCTGTGCCCTGTGTCCTGTGTCCTGTGTCCTGTGTCCTGTGTCCTGTTCCCTGTGTCCTGTGTCCTGTTCCCTGTGTCCTGTGTCCTGTTCCCTGTGTCCTGTGTCCTGTGTCCTGTGTCCTGTGCCCTGTTCCCTGTGCCCTGTGTCCTGTGTCCTGTGTCCTGTGTCCTGTTCCCTGTGTCCTGTGTCCTGTGTCCTGTGTCCTGTGCCCTGTGTCCTGTTCCCTGTTCCCTGTGTCCTGTTCCCTGTGTCCTGTGTCCTGTTCCCTGTGCCCTGTGTCCTGTGCCCTGTTCCCTGTGCCCTGTGTCCTGTGCCCTGTGTCCTGTGTCCTGTGTCCTGTGTCCTGTTCCCTGTTCCCTGTGTCCTGTTCCCTGTGTCCCTGTGTCCTGTGTCCTGTGTCCTGTGTCCTGTGTCCTGTTCCCTGTGCCCTGTGTCCTGTTCCCTGTTCCCTGTGTCCTGTGTCCTGTGCCCTGTGTCCTGTTCCCTGTGTCCTGTTCCCTGTGTCCTGTGTCCTGTGTCCTGTTCCCTGTGTCCTGTGTCCTGTGTCCTGTGCCCTGTTCCCTGTGCCCTGTTCCCTGTGTCCTGTTCCCTGTGTCCTGTTCCCTGTGCCCTGTGTCCTGTGTCCTGTGTCCTGTGCCCTGTTCCCTGTGTCCTGTGTCCTGTGTCCTGTGCCCTATGCCCTGACTCCTGTGTCCTGTCCTGGCCTCAGCAGGGCAGCCCAGGGGATCCAGGGCACTGTCCCTGTGCTCCAGGAGCAGGGAGAGCCTGGCACTCCCAGCTGCTCCATTGATCCACAACAGTGGTTCAGAGCTCTGCTGGTGAGGAAATCCACATCTGCATGCACAGCTACCTTGAAAGGGTAAAACCCAGCTGCAGCAGAGTGACCATCACCTGATCTACACTGCCCACCTTCACCCTGTGGGGATGAGACTGCCACAAACACAGCCAGTAATCCTGCTAAAGACCTCTATAAACTATCTTCATAGCTTAGAGCAGTGACACCATTTTCAAAAACACTGAAAGCAGTGTCAACATCTTTTTAAAGGTAAAAAGGTGTGCTGCTTTTTTCTAGGATTTTTTTTCTAGAAGATGTAACATCTCTAAAATTGGGTAAGATATGAGGATGTTTCCCAATGAAGGGAGCAAGGGCAGTGATGAAGGATTGTTTGTATCTCATCCAAACATCCCATTTTGCTTTTCCTCCTGATGTTGTCTCTTCTCCTATCCATTATGAATATTTCATTTTTATCCAATTTTAAATTATATTTGAAGTTATTTGTTTTGCAATGCTAAAGTGTAATGTTTTGTCTTGCAGGAATGTTGCCTTTTTTCTCAGTGAAATTCTGAGGAAATCAACCTGTAGTCATGATAAACTTAATGTGTTCAGAAGACATTTTCCATCAAAATACCTTGGAACAGAAATGTTCAGTATGTTCAAATAATACTTTTATTTACCTGTTGCAACATGGCTATAAAAGACTTGCATTGGGATTTCTGTCTCGTACAGTCCCACACTGGCATGGTAACAACAGCAAATGTAATAATGATCATTCTCCTGTGGCCACAGTGCTCTGCCAAAGCCATGGTTTAGAAATGAGCATATGCATCCCAAATCAGCAGGTTTGGAAAGCACATAATAATAACCAGTATGGGCTTTCAGACTGTGCTCAGCTGCCTCGGTGTGTTTGCAAAAGGTACATGAGCTCTGAGAAATAAAATCCTGCTCTGGTGTGCTTCATTCAGAAAGCTCCCTTTGCTCCCCTCTGTCCTCCTGTGCCCACACAGACATTCACCTCCTGCCCTGCTGACACTCCTCCCCTCGTGGCATTGCCTCTGGCCTCCCCATGAAGGCATTTACCCACACTCAGTGGTGTTTACTGCATTGGAAATGCCCCTGCATTTACTCCCAGGCTGACTGCTCTTGGCAGGCAGCATCAGCCCACAGACAAGGCAGCACGAGTGCCTCCTAACATCCCTGATGCAGGCAGGCTGCTCTTGGTGCTCTGAGTGCCATCTGAACACATCACACCAACCTTCAACCATAAGCCCAGATTAATTCGGTTTTGTTTCAGAAGAGTCATTCATTCCCTTGCACTCTCTCTTTCACACTTTCACTCTATGTGTAGATTTTCCTTTACAGTAACTTCTGTGGAATTTTAAAAGAAGTTGCAAGATCTCCTACAGGAAATGCTCTGTGCAATTACTCAACCCAAAAGGGTTGTTTTTCCCACTTAGTTTTCTTCAGGGCAAGAAACATGTACTTAGAGCACTACATATAATTTAGCCTGAGCCAAATATAGCATGTACTATGATGTGAGCATTGATTTGTTTTTCTTTGCCCATCTATTACCTCAATGAACACATCTGGAGAAGGTACAAGACTAAATCAAGCTGTGAAAATTATCTTTGAATTAAGCTGAGAGAGAAGAGAATCCACAGCACTGTCACCTGGACACATATAAGAAACTGAGTTATTATGCTCACCTTTTCTACTAAAAAAATGCATTAGAAAGGTCTGTCTTCTTGCAAGTCATTTAATAAATACATTATTATTGGCATATAATAATAATTTTTTTTAAAAAAATCGTGACTATCCACATTATGTGCACTTCAGCTGGATTCTGGAGGGCGACAAGAATGGATGAGAGACATCTTTCATCAAAGGAATTAAAAGCAGCACCTGATAGTGAATGTGTATTT